CTGCGACGGTTTTCCCTGCAGGTTACAACCTGAACCGTTTCAAGACCAACATACACCGACATTTCCGCGCACTTGCCGCTTCTCGAGCGTGATAGGACATTTCCTTGCGAGTGCGCATATCCGTAAAAAAAAAAAAAAAAAAAAAAAAAATGTATTGATAGTGCTATTGCATTCTCATAGGTAGCATATTATGTCAACCATGTATATTATTTTTAGTTTGTTCTGTGATAAATGAAGAAATAACTACACAGATTCTGATTTCCTACTGCACAATATACTTTTCCTACTGCACATTTTGTGTCCAAGTGCACGTTAGAATAACCTCTGCTTATCGGATTCTTTTTCCTATGATTTAAAAAATAATTGAAACTGTCTTTAGTTGATTTACTTGCTTCGTTTTTAAGTTGTATAAACAGTGGATAATGATCGTTAAAAACATTAGTTAGGTACCTTAAATGACTGAACATTGAATCAAAACCCTAGTCTTCATGAAGAAATTCAGGCCTATAATGTATATATCTACTCCTGTTATTTTAACAGCTATGTTATAGCTCAACATCTATACTTCTCTCTATTTTGACGTATAGAATAAACAGTGACAGGCAACTTAACGTTGCTGTTAAAATAATAGAAAATGATACATCATAGGCCTGATTATCAATACAAGAACCCTGATTGTTATTAGCTTCAGAAGGCCTAGTGTCTCCCTTGAAATAAGGCAAATATTTAGCTCCTAGAAAATTATTTTAAAAATCCTGATTAATGGTTTCTGTTTTCAATAAATCTATATTAAAATCGCCCAGTATACAATGATTTTTGATATTCCTATTATTGTCTATAAAACTTTTCAATGCATCCACAAAAGAATGTTTATCAAAATCATGACATCTGTATACTGTCGATATTTTTATTGAGGTTCTGTCACACAAAGCAATGGTGGAACTTAAAATGCGCAGCTGATCAAAATCCTCCACTTCTGTGTGCTCTACTTAACTGTTTTTTATATACACAACCACACCATCAGCCTCGTTTATTAGACTATTATTGTAATATACTTTATAGTTACATCAAAATATTGTACATACGGAATATTCCAAGCTTCAGAACAAGCGATTATTTCTGGTTTAATATCTAGTCTATTAACATAGAAATCCAGGCTCTCAAAATTTGCATTCAGGCTTCTAACATTTACATGTAGGATTGTCAAGTTCCCAGTATTCAATAGTTCATTGATACCTTTTACATCTTCCATTTTCTTCTCCACTGGGTCAAACTCATCCAAAAAGTTTTCGAAATCCATTTAATTCAATTATTTGAATTATATGTAGCTGACTGTTAGTTTGATGTCTACTAGTTTGAAATAGGGTTAAAGGGATAGTCTGTGGAACAAATTTCCGTAGACAAGAAATATTTATATGACTCACATAGTTTTGTGTCATTTGCTGCATGGTTAGTTATCGTTCTGGCTGTACCATTCCTATTTTTGTAACTACCACAATTAGTACATTTTAATTCTTCTTTTTTCCCACACACCTTGAAGGAGTGATTTCCCGCAGAATAAATGTGATAAATGTTATTCCTGCATTTCTTTCCATTATGAGCGTACTTGCCACAATTAAAGCAAATGCCCACATTGAAATCGACAAAAGCTTTACATCTTTGGCAGCTTATATATACTTTTTTTTCTTTCATAATCATTGCATAGGTATTTGAATTTGTTTCCAAAATCAACGACCCTGTATTATTTTTGCCATGTACAATTTTTACTGATCACTTATTTACTGTTAATCCATTTCTTTCACATATATTTGCCTCTATATCGCTATTATTTTTACCTTCGATATTATCATCAATTCCTATTATCTTGCTTGATCTTGGGATTTTGTTTTTGTTGAACATTGATTTTTGCATCCTCTGCTAAATCTTCTTTCAACTTTGCTTACATCATCTATATTTTTGCACTTTCCTATAACTTTATCCTTTACGTGAAACACATCAACAGGTACTATTAGTTTTGTCACAGATCACTTTCTTGGTTTCTTGTATCAGATCTTTGAAGTTTTTGTTGTTTTGCGATTGAATAACAATACTATATAGGTATTTTTTTTTCAAGTTTTTGTTTCCAAAAGTAGTTACGTACGCATAATTTGATACCTATTGTGGCTGTGCAAGCATTTTTTCCTTTTAAAGACCGTTATTCTCCCTTAGTTCTATATTTAACTCCTTGAGAGTATCATTTTGTCTTTGAGTTTGCTATTCAGAGCCCTAAGACCATTTATTATCTCTTTGCAATTCATCAATTTGTCTTAAAAATGCGTCGTTTTTATTGACTAGAGCTGGTCGTTTATTTTGTAAATTATTGATGTTGTTTACCTACATCTAGCATTGCATCATATTTTTCGTTAAGACTATTATAATGGGCTTTCACCTTTGAATATTGCTTATTTATATTATATAAATCTTCCTTCAATTTTAGGATTTTCCTTATTGGAATTATCCTGGCTTATTGAGACCTTTATGTTCATCGCAGATTACTAGAGTTAGCGATACATATTTAACGCCTTTCTTCCTATTAAATTCACTCTTATGAAAGGCACAGTTTTGTCAGATGTCAAATTTAAAATTATCAGGATTTGAGAACAAAATTATCAGATTCCAAGAAAAATTATCAGAAAAAGTTTCCGTCAACTTTTTTGACTTTTTATCTCTATTTTCATTTTTCGGGTTCTAGCTGGGACTCTGACAACTGTAGCTCTCAATAAGAGCTTCAAAAAAGGTTATTCAAGACTTCGAGCCCAAGGGCTTCATTTTCAAAATAATCGGCTTTGAAGCTTTTGCAAAGTTTTAAATTTGAGCCTCAATATCTTCAAAAGTATTTAAGATATAGAATTGAATCTTATTTTATCTTGAAGATTATTTAATTCTGATCCAGAATAACCATCATATTTGTTACAATAATAACCGAGTAATCAGCAATTTTGTGAAAGAATGTCAGATTATTGAAATTTTTTTTAGCCCAAAAATTGCAAAAATCGTTTTTATTTTTTAACAAGGCTTTAAAACCCAAAAAGGAAAGTTGCGAAAATGCTTTTCTACTAATTTTAACCTCTTCTTTCGATTGGCGAAGACAAAAATTCGAAAAACTGAAAATTTAAAAATTCGAACTTTTCCAACCAGTGAAGTTATTGGCATGAATCTTTTGCCCAATTGTAGCTCTTAATAAGAGCTACAAAAAAGGTTATTTAGGACTCCAAGCCCAAGGGCTTCGTTTTCAAGATAATCCGCCTGGAAGCTTTTGCAAAATTTGAGGTAAAGTTTCAACTTTGAGCCTCAATATCTTCAGAAGTATCTAAAATATAGAATTGAATCTCATTTTATCTTGTAGATAATTTAATTCTGATTCAGAATATATAATTTTAGATTATATTTGTTATAATAATAACCGAGTAATCAGCAATTTTGTGAAAGAATGTCAGATTAATGAAATTTTTTGAGCCCAAAAATTGCAAAAATCGTTTTTATTTTTTAACAAGGCTTTAAAACCCAAAAAGGAAAGTTCTGAAAATGCTTTTCTACTAATTTTAACCTCTTCTTTCGATTGGTACAGTGAAAAATTGCAAAATCCATAAAATTTAAAATTTTCCAAATAATTTAAGGGCCATATTTCAGATACCAGTCAAGCTATTGGCATGAATCTTTTACCTAATTGTAGCTCTTAATAAGGGCTACAAAAAAGATTATTTAAGACTCCGAGCCCAAGGGCTTCGTTTTCAAGATAATCCGCCTGGAAGCTTTTGCAAAATTTGAGGTAAAGTTTCAACTTTGAGCCTCAATATCTTCAGAAGTATTTAAGATATAGAATTGAATTTTATTTTATCTTGAAGATAATTTAATTCTGATTCAGAATATATAATTTTACATTTATTTTTTACAATAATAACCGAGTAATCAGCAACTTTGTGCAAGAATGTCAGATTATTGAACTTTTTTGAGCCCAAAAATTATAAAAATCGTTTTTATTTTTTTTACAAGTCTTTAAAACTCTAAAAACAAAGTTGCAAAAATGCTTTTTCACTAATTTTGATCTCCTCTTTTGATTGGTAAAGTCAAACATTGCAAAATCCAGAAATTTAAAAATTCGAATTTTTCCAAAGGGGTATGTATATGTCGTCGATTTTTAACTGATACTTGCGGTATGAGGAGCGAGGGGGTGTTTCATATGGCAAAAACAGGTGTGACGTCAGGTAACCATTGGCGTTCTAATGTAGGGAGCCACCAGCTCACATTCCGTCCGAGTATCAGATTAAAATCGACGAACTATATGCATGGGAATTTGATTTTCAAATATTTCAAAGGGCCATATTTTGGAAACCAGTGAAGTTATTGGCATGAAACTTTGGCTCAATCTGGGACTAATGTTTGGTGCTCGCACCAGTACGTCAAAACACTCAAAATCAACAACCACCTTCAATTTTTTTTTTTTTTAAATAAATTTTTACAGCTGTATGCAACATCCTCTTTTAACTTAAAAGCGCTTTTTAAAACTGGTCACTTTCAAGATTCTATATTCTATAAGCCATACAAATTTTTAAAGGTACCAATTTTGAAAAGTGCTTTTAAGTTTAAAGAGGATGTTGCATACAGCCATTAATTTTTAACTAGAAATTTGAAAAATCTATATTAAATTGTAGTTTCAATAAATTATGGTAGATTAGCTTGTCATTATCGATTATTGAATCGTAGTCAAAATTATGGTAGAATTCGATAATTATCGGGTCATTGGCAACACTGGAAAGGCATTATCACACAGTATACATATTACCACAGAAAATATTACTATATAATTCACTTGTTTATTAAGGCATTTTGGAGGTACCGCATCAGTTTGTAATACCTCCGCCATGTTGAAACTGATTTTTGAGATTTTCTTTTTGATTTTTTTTCTCTTCAAAATTATCACTTTGAAATGATTATTAATGATTTCTTCATCATTTTTTCAGATCAGCATCGAGTACGTCCTCGATCGAACCGCTCCAGCCTCAGAACCGGCTCAGAGTACCGCCCGATTCCAGAATTTGCTCGCGCTGTTCCAGCTTGCTGTCGCTAGCGTCGAGTTCGCGGTACTCGCTCGACTCGGCGGCCGGCAGCTTCATCCGGGTACCACCAACGCCGGACGCTTTACCTCCTATTCTGTGCAAATTGTGCCTGGACGAGGTACCGTCCGGTAGCGTTGTCCGGATCGGACAGTGCGATTGTGCATTTTGTTCAAAGGTAACTATATTCATTTTTATTTGGGTCACACTGTATATATTACCTTAATCAGAAATTCCACATCAAAAATGAATTATTTCAGCTATTATTGTGGTTTACATAAGTAAGTAATGGTAAAACGATAAGAATAATTCAAGGTAAAAATTCTTTTGAATGACAATGGAGTTTTTGTTTTACTTATTTTACAAATTCAAGGTTGAAAAATTTGCTTATTTTGCTTGTAATTGAATTGAATATTTTCCCAATGAAAAACTGCAAAAGAAGCAACATTTCCTCCATAAAAATAAATTCCATCATAATTATTATCTGCTAGCGTATTTATCTTTAAAAAAATTGCGTATAAAGTACAAAAACTGCACTAGAAGAAACCCACATCAAAATGAATCATAGTAATTTAAATTCTATTTTTAACATTATGACATCTTATGTATGGAAAAATTATAATTTTTCAGTGCATGAAAGCTTACGTGGAATTCGAAATAGCCGAGGGAGCGTACGACATTTCGTGTCCCGATGCACAATGTCAATTTCAGGGAGTTTTGCAGCAAGACGAGATTAAAAGACTGGCAGGCAACGATTTGTTGGACAAACACAAAAAGTACAGACTAAATAGAGGTAAGAATTGACAATAAAGAAACAATTTTTCATGTATTTATTATTAAAGGAACAGAAATTAAATTAATTAAGTGCTTCAAACCGGTACTTACGTGATGTGAAAAATCCCACTGTATAGAATTTTTTTAATTGCCCATAAACATGGTTATTCAAATAAGTTCCCAGCACTTCATGTTTTAATTTTCTCAGTTGTATAACATGATACTGAGAACTCATTGGTTCACATCAAAACAACTTTTTGAGATATTATTAAGCTTCTTAGCTCAGAGCAAAGATACCCATTTCATAGTTAAACCATCAACTCTATTCTGTTTAGGAATTGTAGTTTTTTTTTTTCATAGTTCAATAATGACTCAGGTTTCTTTTCTTATTTTTGGAAGACTAATTTTATATATCTATAGCTCCCTGAGTTCCATTGAACCTGGGAAGATTGTATTTTAGGAACATAAGTTTCGTCACTAATGTCCTCTTCTACAGTGTCTTCCGATGATGAAGATATTTGTTCTGCTGAATCCCACTCGGAATTCAAACTTTCTTCATCAAGATTACTTTCTTTATTTAGGGTTGTCATGGTAGTTTTGGTAGGGTCTATTTCAGGTTCTACATAAAAGTAAATAGGTCCTTTTTCGATAATATGAACATCTCTACTTGTGGATATTTGACCCGTTTTTGGGTTATACAGCCTGTAACCTTTTGTAGTTTCTGAAAAACCAATTAAAGGTAATTTGAAAGACTTTTTATCCCACTTTCTTCTTTTTTCTTTTGGAATATGGGTCATGGCAAGGTTTCCAAATATTCGAACATGACTCAAATCTGGCTTTTGGTTGAAAAACATTTCATAGGGTGTTATTTCAATGTTATGCACTACCGACCTGTTTCTTAAATAGCAAGCTTCAGCCCAGAAGCGTTTTTCTAAACCTGCTTCATATAATAAACATCTAGTTTTCTCTACTAAAGATCGATTTAATCTCTCCGAGAGCCCATTCTGCTCTGGAGTGTAAGGATTAGTTGTTTGATGGAGTATGCCCTGTTTTCTTGAAAAACATTCAAACTCAGTACCAACCAACATACTCTCCACCATTGTCTGTGCGTAACACTTTGATTTTCCTACCCAGCTGTTTTTAAACTAAGCACATAAAGTCTTTAAATTTCTGGAAAGTCTCGTCTTTATTCCTAATAAAGCAGACAAAGGACATACGGCTGTGATCATCTTGGAACTGCACAAAATACTTTGACCCACCTACGAAACTTGTCTTCATGGGCCTTGCTAAGTAGCTATGCACTACATCAAGGAGCCCTGTGGCCCTAGTGCCTACATGCCCAAAAGATTTACGAGACTGCTTTGCTTCGCAGCAAATTTCGCAATTTTCTTTAGTTATTTTTGTTTGATCATTTTATTCATCTCCATCTACTAGACCATCTCTCATTTTATTCAAGTAACTTGAGTTGATATGCCCTAATCTTTTATGCCAAGTTCCACTTGTGGCTACTGCTTGGCCAGCAAATAAGCATTTATCAAAGGTATTGATTTTATAAACACCATCATTTAAAAAAGCTATAGCTACCATAACTTTTTCTGCATTGTAAATCTTACATTTATCTGTTTCAAATTCAACTGAATTTCCATTTTTAATTAGTTCACTAACAGACAATAAATTTGTAGACAAATCAGAGAAATAATGAGCATTTTGTATTTCAATTGGAAAAGTTTGCTTATCTCAGTTGCTTACCAACTTTAGTGAGTATTCCAACTTCGCCACAAGCTTGCACTTGAATTATGTTGTTATCAGCAACTCTTATGTCTTTGAGTTCTGGTTCTCGCTCTCGCTGATTAAACAACCAATCTTTCCTGCATGTTAGGTGAATACTCGCACCAGAATCTAAATACCATTCACTGTTGTTATATTTTGTGCTCAAAAAATACAACATTAAAAGCATTTTTATTTTGGTTTCGACCTGATTGAGGGCATTTCGACATATAATGTCCCTTGTCCTTTCTCAACTCAACTCAAAATTCTTTATTTTAATAATTGCATATGTTACAGTTTCAGGTAGGGGGGTTAGGCCTCCCTCAAACTTAAATACATGTAAAGTATTACCATTATCAATTGAAAATCGCATCTCTATGGTGACTACTCAAAATTAGAAAAATACCCCTTATAATAATATAAAATAATTTTTATATTTTTATGCCTAGTCTTGGTACACTATAACAAAGACACCGCACGCCGGCAAAAAAACTTGAAAATTGCCGGCGATGCCGCTGGGCTTTATCGCTTACCGACAAAGCTGAGCCGCTCTTGTTGACAGTGTGAGATATTCTCTTTAGAACAAAAGTATAAAATTACATAGATAATTGAATAAAAATCAATTTCAAATTTGAATTTTTAATAAAGGAATAATATTCCCATTCAAATATTTATATTTGATTTATTTCAATAGTTTAAAACGGAATTTTAAGGATTACCTACCATATGAATTTTGCCCCCTTATTTAATGTATTAACTCCACTGTATTCTAAAAGTAAATCAGCTAGAATTTCGGGGCAATGGCGTTCGTCATTTCAGTTTTTATGGAAATATCTGGAATATGTTTATTTTTTATCAACCAATTTGTTTTCATTTGTAATAATAATAATATTTAGACGCCTATGGATTTCCACGTGACTTCAAAGAGATCAACTGAGCTGCCTTTTTTATGAAGTTTCAAATAATAATGGTTACACTATAACATTAACTTAAAACTAGGACAAAAAACTTAAAACTAAAACTCCAGTGCGACGCAGCGCACCGTGCCCTAGACACGCCTAGCGTGCTGTGCGGACATGTTTTAGCACGGTCTGATGTTGTGACCAACAAGCCCCTTTCCTATCCTTGCTTGACACTTTTACGCAGCGTTACCTGGTCTCCCTTAGACGCTGTTTGTATGACCCTAGGGTCGCTGACAAATACCATGGTATGGTAAGCATTGGGCCATTACACTGGCCTACCAGATGATGTGGGTGGATGCCGGAGTATGGAGTGCGAAGGCGCAGCGCCCGTCGTGTGGGGAAAAAATAGGCTAAAAACCCTACTTTTAATTAACTTGGTATTTTAGAAAAACAGCCCTTATGGGCGGTTTGGTCCTGGATACGCGCTCTCAACAGCAAAAGCTGAGCTCTAGGGTTAGGTGTTTTAAGGGTTGTCAGAGAATGAGGGTTGGGAGGATTGGGTGCAAGAATTTACCGGGATTAGGATGAGCTTTTATCAGCTAAATTGGGCAATTTTTGTCTATAATTGTTGGTCGAATTGGGGGTGTTTTGAAGGTAATTAGACAAGTGCGTTTCCTCATAGTCAGCGAAAGAGGAGTTTACTACACACTAGTTCGCTGGCCAGTTGGAATTTTCCGAAGAACTGAGAGTTGAAATTAGACCTAATGACTGGATTTGCCAGAGTCTCCTGCTTTAGACTAAGGCTATTGGCGCCTGCGCCAAATCTCTTTTGTCTAATTTTGTCTCGACGATTGGATTTTAACTGTGCATGGATGGGTTGTTTTATTTATTGGATGTGTGGTTAGTAGGTTTGGGATGGGGAAGGTTTTCATGGGGGTTCACAATAGATGGGCAAATTCTTGTAAGGCGGTCCGTGAACTATGGGGTTGTCTGGATCATATCTTGTTGCAGTTAGGCTGCGTGTGAGAGGGGATCCTTGAATTTGATGGCGGTAAAACTTGTCGCTGATTTCGTCCAGGTAGTCAGACATAAGAAATGGATGCTTCCGCATGCATGTCACTTATTCTGGCGTACCTGGACGACAGGACTCTCCTCAGAATGCGGTTTTGGAACCGCTGAAGGCGGTTCCTTTGTGTGACTGAGATGATGTTCCAGACTGGGCCCCCATAGGTTAACATTGGTCTTAAGACGTTTATATAATAATAACTTATTACCTGGCGAAAGGGCGAAGTTGGGACCGATGAGGGAGTAAAGTTTTTGCTGCGCACTGAAGGTGCGAGCTAGAGCGTGGGAAACGTGATGGTGGAATTTCATTCTCTGATCGAATATGATGCCGAGGTATCTTGCTTCCGGGGATAGAGTCACTGGGATGTTATTTACGATAAGTGGGTTGGGCATGGCGCTATTGGTATGTTTCTTGTGGAAACATATTTCCGTTTTTTGCCCATTAACGCCAAGCTTCCACTTATCGTAATAGGGTTGAAGGATAGAGAGGTGATGGGCGAGTTGAAATTATGTTGCTTGCGTGCCATTTTTCATGGCACCCTCAAGTTCCCGAACTCGTTGGCGATCCTCGTCCCTTTCGGAGGCGTTGCCACCCTCCTCCTGGTGCGATTCTTCAGTGAAATAAGATCTATGAGCTCTCGAGAGAGCTCGTCACGGCCTTGATAGACAGTTACCCGGTTGGCAAGGGAAGTTTGGGTCTGCTGGACATTCCTGGTCAAGGTTGAAACCTCTTGCTCGAGAGCGTCAATGGTGTCAATTTGTCCTTTCTGCTTGCATTTAATTTAAAACAAATAACATCATGTGAATCCGTGTATCTATTTTTGTTGACACCTCGGTTGACACTGTCACTTTGACGTTTCTGACGATTCCAATCATAGATACTCCAATTTCCTTTACTTATGAAGGCACCAGCTATTTAGCTATTGAACTCGTGCTGGCATCTAGCTGCATATCGAGTAGGTAATTCAGTTTTAATCGAGTCGGTGGTATTAGAAATCCCACTATGCTCCAGCGCCATCACCATTGGGGTGTACCGTTTTGGCAAACTTGCCAAAAGCGCAAACTGCCAACCAAGGTCGAATCTAATTTGAGGCCGGTCCTATCAAGCTTTTGAGAAGTCTCAATAACTTGAATGACGTATTCTTCCATTGATGCACAACTTTCCAACCTTAATGATATCAACATACGAAAGAGGCTAATTTGTCTTGAAAAACATTTGTTTTCAGTTTATCCCAAACTTCCTTAGCTGTAGTTGCCTCTTTTACGTGCACGTACAAGCTAGAGTCGAAGGATAACACAACACAGACTATCCGAAAATACCCCTTATAATAATATAAAATAATTTTTATATTTTTATGCCTAGTCCTGGTACACTATACCAAAGACACCGCACGCCGGCAAAAAAACTTGAAAATTGTTGGCGATGCCGCTAGGCTTTGTCACTTGCCGACAAAGCTAAGCCGCTCTTGTTGACAGTGTGAGATATTCTCTTTAGAAAAAAAAGAAAGATGAAACAAACGACGAAGAGAGGAAGTAGAGAGAAGATAGCAGAAAGAAGGGAAACATACAAACAAAGGCTGAAAGAAAACTTTTCCAACAATCCAGGAAAAACAGAAGAGTCATTAGATGATAACAATAGGAGAATAACAACAATTATAACAGAAACAGCGGAATAGCTAATAGGCCCCCTAGAGAAAACGCCGGACAAACTGTCGATAGAAACGAAACAGCTACTAGAGAAAAGGAGAAAACTAGAGAAAAGGAGAAAACTGATGACCGAGGGTAAAAGAGACACTATTGAATACACAGAAACCAACAAAACAGTAAGAAAATGGCGAAACAGGATCTACTAAAACATCAAACGAAACAAGTGCAATCCCTATTAGAACAGAACAAAGGACTAAATATATTTAAAAGACATAACACACCTAAGAAAGAGATAACCAAAATAAAAGATGCGAAAAACAACATAGTAGAAGACAGACAACAGATACTAAAAGTTGTGGAATCTTTCTTTAGAGATCTGTACGAATCTAAAATAGCAAACACAAGGACAAGGGAAGACAAAATACGAATAGTAAATGCAAACTCAGAAGAAATGCCCGACATAAATATGGAAGAACTGGAGAAAGGGTTATCCCAGATGAAAAATGGTAAAGCGGCAGGAGAAGACAACATTCTGCCTGAAATGCTCAAGGAAAGCGATACTAAGACGAGACAAGAACTAGTGAAACTATTCAATAAGTGCCTAACAGAAGAACATATACCCAAAGATTGGGAGAATGCTGTAGTTGTTCTGATCTACAAGAAAGGTGACCCGACTGATTTCGAAAACTACCGGCCGATAAGCTTACTATCATATATAAATTATTCACCAGAATAATCACCAATAGATTAGAACGAAAACTCGAAGTTTACCAACCAAAGGAACAGGCTGGATTCCGAAGCCATTATAGCACGACAGAACATCTACACACAGTAAGGCAGATGATCGAGAAAGCTACAGAATATAATATAAACCTATGGATGGCTTTTGTCGATTTCCGGAAAGCCTTCGACACAGTAGAAATCTGGGCAATAATAAAATCCTTGAGAAATGCCAGAGTGGATCAACGTTATATAAACCTCATTGAAAACATCTAAAGACTTCGACAATGTCGTTCATGAATCATCTGACAGAATAAACGCCAAAAGAGGAGTTCGGCAAGGGGACGTAATATCTCCAAAACTATTCACTTTAGTCCTCGAGGATATTTTTAAAAAGCTACAATGGGAAAACAAAAGATTGAACATACATGGTCAACGCCTGCACAATCTTAGATTTGCCGACGATATTGCACTGTTCGCGAAAGACAAACAGAAATTGAAAAATATGTTGGAAGAACTACAAGATGAGGCGGCAAAAGTAGGATTACACATGAACTACACAAAGACCCAGTTTATTACAAATACACCAGATGCAGGCGAAACAATACCGATCCATGACAGCACAATCAAAAAGACAGAAACATACATATTGCCAAGCTATAACACCGGGCAAACAAAATCAAGAAATGGAAATTGATAGGAGAATTAGACTGGGATGGGCGGCTTACGGCAAGTTAAAGTACATATTCAGCATTCCAATGACTTTAAAATCAAAAGTCTATAACGAGTGTATACTGCCTGTTGTCACGTATGGCTGCGAGACCTGGGTGATAACCAGAAGAATTAAACACAAATTGGTACACCAGAGAGCCATTGAAAGACGAACTTTAGGAATTTCTCTGAGAGACCACAAAACAAATACATGGATAAGGGAAAGAACCAAAGTCTCCGACATAATAAAAAGAATTGGTTCCTTAAAATGGCAATGGGCAGGACACGTGGCCAGACATACAGAAAACTGGAGCGGGTATATCACTACATGGAGACCTTGGGAAGAGAGGAGAAGTGTTGGATGACCCCAACAAAGATGGTACGACGATATGAGGAGGGTTGCAGGCTTGAATTGGTACCGAGTTGCGCAAAACCGAAGACAATGGTCAAATTTGAAAGAGGCCTTTATCCTAAGGATAGAAAACGGCTGAAAATGGATATGGAAAAATAGTAGTGGACTTTATATTATGCTTTGTCAATAAGATTTATTGTAGCTATAATACTTCTTTGACAATAAAGTACTTTTTTGATTGATTGTTTGATTGAAGATTATTGAACAATATTCCATTTTAAATAAAACTCAAATTTTCTTGAAAAACTTCCTATTGTAGAACATAGAGGAAACTCTTATTCTTGGTCTCAATGTTGTCCCTTCAATAATCTATTCTTATTCGAAAATTTCAGAAGTCGAATTGGACAAGAGCCGCATGTGGTGTCCGAGAGCCGGATGCGAAACCGTCTGCAGATTGTGCCCGACTCAACCCTGCTCGCCCCAAAGCGTTTTGTGTCCGACTTGTTCGACAGATTTTTGCAGTAACTGCAAACTGGAATGGCACCTGGGAGTTACGTGCGAAGCGCACGGTAAACAACTGGCGAAAGACGGGAAAATCGTGCCCGACGTCGGCATACCCTTCGATTCCGACTTGATCAAGTGCTGTCCGATGTGCGGCGTGCCCATCGAAAAGGACGAAGGCTGCGCCCAGATGATGTGCAAACGATGCAAACACGTCTTTTGTTGGTACTGTTTGGCTAGTTTAGATGTGAGTATTGAAACCATTAATGGTTCATTGTTGTGTTAAAATTAAATGTTAAGGGCAACGGTATTTCAATAATACTTTAAAATCAAGACTCCGACAGATTTTTTCTTTTAAAAGTAATTAAATTTGTAATGAGAGTGAGTATAAATTATGATTGTTTCAGGATGACTTTCTACTACGTCACTACGACAAAGGCCCGTGCAAAAACAAACTGGGCCATTCCAGAGCCTCGGTAATCTGGCACCGGACTCAAGTAATTGGAATATTCGCTGGATTCGGTATTCTACTGCTGGTAGCTTCGCCCCTGCTACTCTTGGCAGCTCCGTGTATAGTTTGCTGCAAGTGCCGCATATGCAATGCCGGTACCACGAAACTCGACAACAGCGAAGACATTCAGCACGACGATACGTGATCGACTTTTAATCTTTTTTAGTGGTTGTGACTTTATTTATTTGACCTGAGAATTGGGAGAATCTTCTTTATAAAAACACGTAACATTTATGAATCTCCTACATTCAAAATCCTCTGCTTCTAATCATTGGCAGAAAGTTAAACTACAAGTGTTTAAAAAATAAACTTTTATTTTGTGATTTTCTAATTAGATATTATTTTAATTTAGGTTTTTTTGTTTTAATTAATGAAGTCTTCCATTCAATAATTTATTTACCAACCACCAAAATAAGTAGGTACTTAATTATATGTACAAAACAAATACCTATAATATTAAAAAAAAAACGAAGGTGCCTTTTATAAAGAAAAATATCTTAAGTGGACATTTATTTATATTTTGGTCTAGTCTAGTCTTTATTATTAGAAATTATAGTTTGGAACATATTTACCAAACAAAATATAAAGGTAAATTTTGAGTTTATACACGGACGGGACCTGTGATAGAACTGTGATGCGTAAAATGCCGTCTGTGTCTTATAAACTCTCTGTTTTTTGAAAATGGAAGGCAAACTTTCATTTCTGTTTAATAATTTTTGGCATCTATTAATCATTGAAGGTCCAAATATCAAAGTAAATTAAGGTGAACTAAGAAGCAAGTTATATTTATATGTATAAACTATAAATAAAAAAAGCAAAGCTACTTATATACATACTTATGTTTTATATAATAAATTGTAAATCTGTTAAATCTAATTTAGGTACCATGTACTTATTTATCTAATGAATATTTACCATGTTTTATGTCAATGGAATCTTATTGTTTTATGATTATATACCTACCTACTAAAAATGGATCATTGCAAGATTCCATTACATAAAAGTGGAGTATGATAATAGATTGTGTTAATAAATTAGTTGAGTTTTAATTGTCTAATGTTTGAAGTCAATTTTTATAGGCTTAATTTGTCTTTAGAATGTCATAGTCCTAAAAACGTCTTCAGGCATTAGACGTCTGAAACGTTGGGTTTTTCAATGTACAACGTCTTCAAGATGTCTTTAAAATACCTTAAAGACGTAAGCTGTAAAATGTCTCTTCTGTATTGGCTGAGCTTCTGATTCCAAGCTCTTGAATGCTTCTTATTTGTTCTTATTACAGGCAGGTATTCATAATTTATAAAACTATTTTGACAGATACCTACCTAAAGCTCAATCAATTATGGAGGTAAAGGGGGTGTGACCCAAAGATGAAAGTTTTAGCACAGCTTTTAGTCATAGCTTTCTTTTAGTGCAGAGTTTTAGTGCAAAAAAATCTAAGCATAAGTATTTAAACCGCATCTTGCTATGATGGTTCGTTTTCGAGTTTCGAGTATGACGTCACACTGTTATTATTAAGCACCAGTATAAACACATAAAGGCCCCACAGACTGCGTTTTTGTTGGATAAATTTGCTCGACGAACAAATCTGGTCGAGAAAAAACGACACAAAACCAAAGTGTGTGTGCGAAAAATTGTCGTTTTTGCTCGCATACAAAACCGATGCAAATATCTGGAAATGCCTGATTTTGTCCGTCGGATATGTTCGATATGTCAACAAATCTGAAGTGTGTGGCCTACGACTTTTAAAAACGACAGTTTTATGTGATCCGTCGTTTTTGCTCGTCCAGATTTGCTCGTCGAACAAAACCGTCAAACAAAAACACAGTCTGTGGGGGCCTTAAGAATTTTCCAAAATAAAAAACAATATCTCACTAGAGCGAATTGCAACCATTCAAGTATTAGGTAGGTGGTTGTGACGTAATAAGTTCCTGCATAATTTATCTTCACAAAGAATTTTCCCGGAAACTATTTTGAATATAGGACTGCGGTTTTCACCAGAGATCTTGAATTTTTTTAGTCGTTTTCTAGGGTCACACCTCCTTTAAGATGATATTGTAGTTTTGTCTGTGTATGTGATGTGAGTCCTACTTTGGTGAAGTGTAAATACAAGTGCCATCTGTGTAGATGGACATTTTAGTATGGGGATTAATGGGGATGTCAGCCGTGTAGAGAGTATAGAGCAGTGGAGCCAAGACAGAACCTTGAGGCGCAGCTTCTTGAGGAACTCCCGTTTCTATAGGTCTGACATTTGAGAAAGTATAGGTATTTGTTGAGTTTGCCAAACCTATCCCGAAAGTAGGTACTAAAATATTTTGGGGTGGAATTATGATTGGTGAAAGAACTCCTTTAATGCCTATTCGACAAACTCTAACAGGTCAAAGGTATGTCGCTTTATAGACCGGGAGATAGTGACAGATTTTAGGATGTGATTTTACCCAGGCCAGTATGCCTTTTGGATGGTACTATGGTAGACATATTCTGTTATTAATAAATTATAAAGTAAACATCAGTCCTTCCGGGTTCTTCATATAGTAACATTGATCAACAATTGTTTGGCAAATTAAGCGTTTCAATACAATTTTACCTAGGCTGCTATGAATCTATATATTTATACCTATATAAAACACAACATAGATTTCTATGTCCGTTATAGACTTTGAAACTATCCGACCGATGTGCCCCAAGGCCCAGACCAGTTTAATTTGAAAAGAAATAACGAGAAGAAGGGTTTAGACCACTAATGACAGGTGTGAACTGTCAAATGTGACAGATGCATTGTTTGAACCATATAGTTGAACCATATTTCATCCCAACGGATTTTGCTAGAATTTTGCATACATTTTAAGCTCCGGTGATAATAGAATTTGGAATACTCAGACTCCGGCTTTAAACGTTGAAAAAAATTGACAGGTGTATACTGTCAAATGATACAAATAGAGAGGTGGGCAGGTTGTCAGGACCAATGAAGTCAGGACTGCCCCCGTCTTTAAAAATTTGCTTTTTTCAACAAATGAGCAAAATGTACTTATTTTTTTTAGCGTATAGTAGGCACACGCTTCGAAAAATTGAAGGGGTAGGAAATCTTCTGTCCTACCCTACAGGATGGAGATCTCATGGAGATCCGTAGGAGATTTGTGGGAAACCATGGATTTCCGGTAGATTCGCTGGAAATACGTGAAGATCCAAGAACTTCGGTTGCAGTCATGTAGAATCGGAATAGCCGGGGTTATTAATGTATATGGAGGTCCAGAAGAGATACACGGATGTCCATCGAAATTCATATCATGTCCATGGAGATCGGAGATCGAAGGATATGCCTGGAGCTTGGACCTAGGGGCCTTATTCATCTCGAAACAGGAAACAGCGTTCTCATGAGAACGAAGGTTCTGTATATTCGTCGCTCATATTCATACAGAGTGAGTTTTAAGTATGGAACGTCTCAATTATCTCGGAAACGGCTTGCACTATTCTTATGAATTTTGGTTTGAAAGAGTATTGTAATATGGCCGATAATAGTATAGTAGTATTTATATGGTTATCAGATCTTCCGTTTTTCGGGAACTATCAGAAACATTGTTTTTTCAAATGAATCCCCCTGTATATTATGACATTTCTGGGTTTTACGGAAAACTCTAGACATATTTCATGTACAATGTCATATACCTATCTTCAACTGTTTCGGAATTATTGACAGTTGAAAATATAGACTTTTTCGCAACTTTTAGAATCTGTAAAATCTAAACGGTTGATTTTACAGCAATATCGATCATATGATTCATATCCTAGTTTTTCATAATCATTTGATATTTACTTTGAATTTGATCCATGAATAAAAAGTCCGGTTAAATTTTAAATTTAATCTCCGGTTAAATTCATAGTTGGGTGTCAAATGATAGCTTATGAAAGCTACAGAAGAGAATGTAAAATCGGTTTCGCTGTAAAATTAGCCGTTTAGGTTCCACAGCCTGTCAAAGTTGCAAAAAAGTCAGTTTTCAACTGTCAATATTTACGAAAAAGTCGCAGATGTATATGACAGTGACGACAGTGTACAGTATTACAATAAAAAAAAAGTAGTACCTACAAAAATTATTAACCCCAATTCAAGCTCCCGGTGTAACATACAAAATTTTAACCGGCAATGACATATTCTAGATTAAAAACGGGTGAAAAATGTCAAAATAATGTCATCTGAAGCTTTCTAGATAAAAAATTTGTCGAAAAATGCCAAAAACATGTAATTTTTGGTTATGAATTAAATTAATGTTTAATAGACCAGGAGATTTTGGAGATTTTCCTTGTACTACTTTTTTTTTTGATCGCAACTGTACATGAAATATATTTAGAATTTTCCACAGAATCTATAAATGTCATAATATACAGGGTGATCTATTTGAAAAAACCGAGTTTTAGATATTTCCCGAGAAACGAAAGATGTGACAATCATGTTAATACTACCATATTATCTGCCATATTACAATACACTTTCAAGCCAAAATTTATGAAAATGGTGCAAGCCGTTTTCGAGATAATTGAGACGTTCCATACTTAAAATTCACTCTGTATATCCATAACACTGACAAAAACAATGCAATCGTTATCATGAGAACGCTGTTCCCGGGTTTCAAGAATAAACATTTGAGCTGAGACTCTGGAATATAGAGATTGTTATCCCCATCGCTTATGCCACGCTGCTTCCGACTGATGTCTTTTTCTCTCTTTCTGAAATCAATATAGAGAGGTCGTCAATAGAGGTAGAGAAAATATCTTTATTCATTAAACACTGAAAAATACAGGATATTCCTGGATATCCAATTAATGGAAATATAATATGGAGTTTCAAGAAGATCTCCACAAATGGGGATTTTCTGTCCTAAAAAATCGCAATTGACTACCCCCTTCGAAAAAAATATGTCTAGTAGCCAAAGGTTCCTAAAGTTAATAGGTTGTCTGGTAATGGGGAACAGATGACGTCATCTGGGGTGTCTAATGGAGATTTTCATTATGTTTGGGTAGCCCTGATGACATCATAAAAGTTATCAGGCAACCTGCCACTTCAAAAAACCTTGATCTAGTAAGATTTGTAATGTTGACTGGAGTATTTGGTTTTCAACAATATCGACAGTGAATTTGTTAATGGCGCCAGCATTGTATTAATTAATTGTCTTTCACAAACTTCATCAAAATGATGGGTAGTTCTGATAGGAATAATCTGAAATTTTCAGTGAATCAAATTTTAGTGGAAAATATTGAATTTCAGCTCTAAAATGAGAGACAAAACTGAACTTAAAGTTTAACTTTCAAATCTAGTTAAGCCGGAAACAGGATTTTCATATTTCTCTTGATCAAATTATCAGGTCTAAGAAAGCCAGCTGTAGGATTTTGAAACTTCCAAGGTTAGAATTCAACTCTGACTATACCTTTTTAAAATGCTAAAGGCTCAACTTTAACTCTAGAACTGACACTCCGTTCAATTCTGAAATGGCATAGAGTCCTTCACAGTTCTTGTTCAATTTTAATTCTTAGAGGCAAATAATGTTGAATTTCGGCTCTAGGAGAGCAAAATTGACCTCCAAGTCCCAAATGTCTCACCATGGAATAATTTGAGATTTCAACATTTTTGAAAGAAGAACAGAAAGAAATCATAACTTACTAAGAATTTTGTTCTAGCAAAAGACTACAAACCCCGAATTCAATGTAGCTCTTATAGGCGTCAAGATATTCCGGTTGTAATGGCTTTATACGAAAAAAACCTGTCATTCGAAACCCGCGACATTGAACTAATAGGCGAACAATACAAGCCCTGGTTTTTGCAAATAAATCCCAAAGGCGAAGTCCTTGTATTACAAGACACTGGCAAAATAATTCCAGATTCTTCTAGGATCATCGATTATTTGGAAGACAACTTCAGTAATGGTTATTTATTAAGATTTCGTTTTCCTGAAAAAAGTCAAAGTCGAAAGATTTTGAAGCTATTGCAGCAATGAGAATGAGACTATTGAAGCTGGATTGATTTGTAGAAGATTTCATTGGTTTTATCTTGAGCCTTATTAAAAAAAAACAGTAATAATCTAATTAAGGTTTTAATAAATAAATTTATTATTTGTGTCTTTTAATTAATAGGAACATTTTCAACTTAAATACTTAAATCTATTTTTCATTGTTCTCTTTAATATCATTGCGAGCCAACACCATCAGCTCTTGCTCGGGAATGTTTTTCTCTGGAGAATTCCAGGGTTGCAGCTCCGATTTGGCAACAAAAACATAGAGCAAACCGCTACCAAACAGCCAACCGCTAGAAATCCAAAATACTTTTTGCCATTGAGGGGTGGTTTGCTGCAAAAACCAAAAATCAAGTTGCAATAGTTTTAATTTCAACTAATATGTATACACACATTTTGATAGGTCAAATAACCAACAACGGCAGGAGTGAAAAATCCTACTATAGCAGCTGAAGTGTTTAAAAAACCCATAATTACAGCTAAAATAATTGCAACTTTTAAAATCTTTTTTATTAAATAATCAGTAGTTGTAATTTTTACCAGCATAATTAGGACTGATATCCACAACACTGGCCAAAGGTCCCGTAGAAACAGATCCATGGATAGCTATGGCCATAGTGAGGAAAACTATAGCTGCCATAGCGTCACAGCCTGAATAAGCCAAGGCCATCATAAAAATGCCTTGACCTATACAGCTAAAGGCTGTAGCCAGCTTCCTAACGTTGGATCTACTCATTTTATTGGATCTGAGCAGGTAATCTCCGAGCATTGAGAACATGTAGGCCCAAAGCATGCGTACAAGATGAGGTAGACCAGACAAAACACCGGTTGCTCTAATGTTCCAACCGTGAATAAACTTAAAGTAAGTAGGAGCTTGAGTCATCAAAGTGAAAAGACCCCAGCATCCGCCCCATTGGGCCAAAACGTTCATCCACACGGTGCGGTTTTGTAGAATGTGGCGCCAAGGTATCGGCGCTTTTTTCTTTGCCACACTTTCCCCTAAGCTTTTCAGAATGTACTCTTTCTCGTGCTGAGATATTCTGGGGTGTTGACTGGGACTGTCGTGGACCAGGGACCACCAGGCAACAAACCAAAGGGTACCAAAAACGGTACTAGCATAAAATACGTATTCCCAGTCGAATTTGTCGATAATGTAGCCGCAGATTGGGTAAGTTAGGGCCGCACCAACCGAACTACCTAAATAAGCCGTCACAAATTTGCTTCTTTCGTTTGGTGGTATCCATCTGGCAGTCATGTCTGCCATTGAGGGCCAAGAAAATCCCTGAAACAAAACCATCAAGCTATGTAGAGATAGCTACAAGAATTTCTTACAGTGACAATTCCCTGAAGCAATCTTAAAGCCATCAATGGTTTTGCACCCATTTTTGCAAAATACGGCAAGAAAAAGCACAATATTACTCCGGCAAAGTTGGACAGGCCGAAAACTTTTTTCGTTCCGTACTTGTTGGCCAAGAGGCCTCCCGGTATTTGGGTCGTCCAGTGCATCCAAAAGAAACTACCCAAAATGTATCCTGGAATTTGAGTTCGGTTATAATAAATTGGCAATTTGTAAAAACGGTTTGTTTGCCTTGTATTTTCTCGTCCCAAACAAATTTATCATTGGATATATTTGCAACTAATGCACTTGGAGGCAAGGGTGTAGTTAATGGGAAGTTGTGGTTTTGAGTTTGCGGAGGCAACTCTGTGTGCATGGCATTCTAGAAATAATGTTTGAAGTGTCTCAGAATTTTCAGAAGGAGTAAACATTTTCGCTTGAAAATGAGTGAATTAGAGGAGTAGATTTCAATCATTTCATTACATTACTTTGAATAATTCAATAATAATTTGTTCAATGAATTGATTGAGTGAGTGGGTTTCACTCAATTAGTTCAAAAATTCACTCATTTCCTTCAAAATCATACTTGAACGACTCATTATTGAGTTAAATGCTGCGGAACTTGCTCTGCTAGTCTTGCAGAGGTTCAAGATAAGTAAAACACATAAATGACTTTCGCATTATCCCCACTTGATTTACATCGCACTTACTGTTTGATTATTTTCGCCTAATCTAGATAATACTGATCCTGATAATTCTAAGCATTCGCTGGTCAAAGAAACGTTGTCTTTGGGCTTAGCTTGAATCATAGCTACTATAGCTATGTTCAGGTTTATCCTTATCATGTAGTTTACGGCAAATCCAGTAAAAACTAAGTACCATAGTACGTCTCTTGTTGAACAGCATTCTTTGACTTCTGAAAAGAGATTTTTCGATATTAGATTTGATTAGAGTGTACTCGTGCCAATGAAATGTTAAAAACGAATACATATTGCACGTGCTATCTAATTATTTCACCTTTTCCTTTTGGTTTATCTAGTGAATTAACCTTGATTTTAACAAAAAAAAAGCGCCTTGCAAATATAAATGATAGTATTTTTCTTGTGATTACGTCATTTCAAAGAAAATAATGCGTAAATGCGATTTGTTCCGGTAACAGCAATGCAATGCAGATATTTTGATATAAATGTACCTACCTAAAATTGGTTCTTAAAAAAAAATGAGCTCAGCGACTGTATTTTGAGCTAGAATTATTTCATTGTTGATACAAATCTAGAAACTTTGGAAGATGAGCTTCAAATTAAACAAAATCAAAATAAACGTTTATTGAAACAAAACTAGAAATTTTGAAAGATGAGCTCCAAATTAAACAAAATAAACTTCAAATTGTTTTACTTGTTAGAATGAATTTGGAAACTTTGGAAGATGAGCTTCAAATAAACAAAATAAACTCCAAATTGCTTTACTTTGTTGAAACAAATTTGCACATGAGCTTCAACAAAATAAACTTCTAGATGTTTTGGATGTTTCATTAAAGTTCCTCCCCAAAACATCTAAAGCAGTTGCTTGAGGATATTCCAGGAAAATTTTTGATGCATTTTATTTTGACGATAAAAGCTTTTACCTACTGAAATTTTCCAGATTTTATTAATTTCTTCTTGGAATATTCTACAAATCTCAATTATATATATTCTTGCCACTATCATTCTCAAGAACTAACAACCTTTTAGGTATAATATAGCAAAAAATTTATTAAATCAAGTTACACTTAAGTACTTACCTATGATTGCTTCTTCTTCATCATGCTTTCCCATTTTCCCAATAGTTAAATTCAAATTTTCAACAAAAACTTTAACTACATCATCGCGTAAAATTCAAATTTCACTGCGTAAAACACACAATGGTAAAACTTTAGTAAAAGTACGAATTGTTCTAAATTAATAATTAGAGTACTGTCGCGATACTTAATTAAACAATGTTTTTGAAGGTAAACACTAGCGCTGTATGAAAATTTATAGCAGGGCAATGTTGTGTAACTCTGAGAAAAGCGAAAAGTAACACAATCTTTTCAAATTATGTATATCGTTTTGCAATAATAAGGTTACAAATAGGAAAGTCTCTATTCAAGATAAGTCAACTTTATATTTGCTTAACTCAAAAGTAAACTATATGTTTGAAAAATATATATAACAATAATACTGTAAGTATTGTCTGTACTGCTAGTTAATTATTAAAGCTTGTTGATAAGCTTAAGCATTTAGTCTATAATTGTGTAAAATAAATAATCATTTTTTGCTCGTAATTTGGGTAAATTATGATCCAAAATATTACAACCTTGCAGCACAGGGACGTAGCGAAGGCCACTGGTTTGGGGGGGGGGGTGATATTCCTAGATTTGCCAACTTTATTAAAACAAAATCATGAAGCATCGTACACGTGTTAAGAAGTGAAACTTCTTGAGAACTATTCTCTCCCTCATACAACTTTTAGATTTAGCGTTTGAGTTGGGGTATAAAGACGAAAGGCCACACGAAAAGTAGAAGAGGATCTGTAATGACGTCACAGGGTATCTGCGTTTGACAATAACAGGCAATCCTCTTTGCTTATATTCCTTGGCTTGTATCAATCGTTCGTCAGCTGTCATTGGCTGTCTTTCTCCATTTCCCGTCTCTCTACATTATATATATTTCTTCTCTCACGTCTCTCGTGTAACGAAATTTGCCAAAACGTGACGTTACGTGACGCGTACGTCTTTAAAATCACTATTTATTCTCGTCCAAATATCAGACCGCCGCCTAAAAAGTTTTACTTCAAAAACTGATAAAAAGTTTGGTATGTATACAGGGGGTTCATTATAAAACTTACCTAATAGGGAATTGAAAAATTTTCGAAAATATTCCTGAAACACGTCAACTATAATTTAAAGGGGGATGAGTTCTTATGCAAAATTCACCTCCCCTCTTTCAACCCCCCAGTACAGTGACTCTATTACCCACAGTGGCGACAATTGCTGTCTTATTTTTGATTGGTTCTAAAATCCCATATATTTATATTGAAAACGCCGCCATCTTGTGCCCACTTATTGCTTATTTCAAATATGAATATATGGGATTTAGGTGAACATCCATCATAAAACATGGAAAACAATAATGTATTTGATGGACCTAATAATAGTCATCAAATACGTCGATTTCAATTTTTTATGAAAGATGTCCATTTAAATTCATATTTAAAAGTAACAAGAGGTTGGGAACAAAATGGCGGCGGGACCTCTATTGTCGCCACTGTATGTAAAGGTTTATTTAGCCACTGTACCCCCCAGCTCCCAGAGCCGCCCCCCAGAAAATCTCATTTTGGAGAGTCTTCCATACCATACATTTTGGTATCTACTAAATTTTAATCCCTAAGTTCAACTGTTTTAGAAATATTGACAGTTGAAAATTGACTTTTTTGCTACTTTGACAGGCTGTAAAACCTAAACGGTTAATTTTCGAGGAAAGCGAACTCAAACTCATCCCCCTTCAAATTATAGTTGACGTGTTTTAGGGATTTTTAAAATGAACACCCTGTATATTCCAGACCTACAAATGTAATCAAATAAAATAGACATTGTAAGTATAAAAAACGTGTATAAGAAAAATATTTGAAAAAAACTATTTCTTCAACAAAGAGCACAGGATTCAGGATTCAGAGCTTTGCTAAAATCTGAATAGCGAGCGGAAAATGCGCAGAACGCAGAAGGCAACATAATATAAGGAGTTTGGATATCTAAATGTATTGTTCCTAACATTAGGTCTGTTTCTGCAGAAATCACAAATCAGTTAGAGTGAATTACATTGGTTGAAACTAGTTTTCTGACTGTTTTCAACCAATAAAATTCGCTCTGACTGGTTTGTGATTTCTTCAAAAACAGATCTATTATCACTCTCAGTTTGATCACTTGCAACTAGCTGATCCTGATCACTTGTACTGTACTTAAATGAACAGAATTGAAGAACAGACTTAACCTAGCTCCTTAACAATAATTTCTCTTTATGTACAGGGTGATCTTAAATATCATGTACAAACGAAAGGGGGCGATTCTTGATTCTTTGGTCCTTGGTCCGCAAACGCTTCGTTACCGATCTAAGTACAGGGTCTTGAAATTTCAATATTTTTTCAGTTTTTTTTTTATAGCTTCTGCAAAGGGATTTAGGTCAAATTTGGAATATAGGTTACGCAATAGGAGCTAAATGGTTGCACGTGTAAAGCGTTTGTCCGAATCTACAGGGTGATGTTTTTTCACGGGTCATGCCCCCTTTTCTGCCCCTGAACTTTTTTGCGGTGTGCTGCTGGTAGATTCCAAAAAACAAAATAATTTTTCTACCTTATTTAGAAACTTTTTGTTCTTTTGTAGTTTTTTCGACCATCACCGACCCTTATCGAGAAAAAAATTGAAAAACAAATCTCTGTAATAAGCTCGATGAAACTACAGTGACTCAATAAACTTGTCTACCTACAGTGACGACAATACAAGGATGATACACACTACTACTACAGAAAGGCCTATCCTCATAAGGCCTGTGTAAGAAATTTCTCGCCTTGACGTAGGCTGTTTAAACGGCTGACGACTTAATTATGACGTCGGAAATGGTAACACACCAATATGGCGGCGATTACCAAAAACGAGGCCGATAAGCAATCCTGTAGGTGTGTATCATCCTTGGCGACAATAGAGGTCCCGCTGCCATATTTTTGCTCATTTTCAAAAGGAATCAAGAAATAAGCCACGCCCTTGCCACCATATTCTTGCTCATTCTCAATAGGAATACATTGAAATTTGAACATCTTGTAGAGCGGTAACGAAGCGCTTGCGGATTTATGTTTATAATAAATTTTAGTCATAAAATAGGTAAACCAAAGATTCATTTCCTCCCATTTGTACGTGATATTTAGGAACAACCTCTGTATGGGTAATTCCAGTTTGTTTTGTTTTGTGTTGCCTACCTTAACCTAGCAAAATTTAAATAAACGTCAAAATACCACAAAGTGCTCGATTTTACTTTTCGATCACTTGTGTCAGTTACGTTCAGAATGAAGTTATAACATCACTTTCATTTATATCACTTTGATCACTGATAATTCACTAGATAGAATACGCCTTTAATATACTTATTATATTGTCTATCCCTCTCAAACACTACGCGCTTGCAAGAAGCTGAATAATTACGCCGGCCGTCGATCTTGACTCTTGAATAGTGCTAGTAGCGCTAGTGCCACTACTGCTACGATTGCCTCGTGCCACTGCCATAGGCGCTAGTGCCACTCCACTAACTGACACGTGTCACTGCCACAGGCTCACTGGCGCATCCAGAGTATAGGTCTGGGGGGGGGGGGAGGGTAAACAAAAATCCAATATAGGCTTACTTACCGCAGGCTCCCCGACATTTTTTTGGGGGGTGTCACGCCCAAATTATTACCCATAATTTAGTTTACATAGTTTACAATCCAAAAATCGATGTTGAGAAAACATCGATGTTTTTCTATCAATATTTTCTTAACATCGATATCAGCTTTCGATGTTTTATCGATACCGAAACATCGATGTTTTCAGTTGGATGTAAAATGTAAAGAGCCGAATTTAAAGTCGTTCCTTGATAAAATTTTGGAGGGAGGAATAAACATAAAAACCGCAATATCTCGAGAACGGACCCCCTTTGCGACCTAAATATCTCTATCCAAAAAAAATACGAGAGGCCCCTACATAGACAGCAAAACCCCCTGAGAGGCCCCTAAAATTTTTTTTGGGGCCGATTCGGACGAAATTTGGAAAAAGTTGAAATTTCGAGTTTTAGCCCTCTACGACTTGCCGGAAAGTTTTTAGCCATTATCCCCCCAATTTTGGAAATGGGCGTGTAATGAGGTATACGCGCCCTGCATTTAATTTTCCAAATTTTGAAAAATTAAAATTTCCATCGGATAGAGAAGCGAAAAATACGTTGGAAATGTCTCTAGGCGTTTTTTGCCCCGACGCTTCCTAAGCCCGCAAAAAAAATAAAGTATATTACATACCGAGGTGGAAAGTGTTTCATTACTGTCGAGAGATTTAAGTTAGACCGAGGCGCAGCCGAGGTCTAACTGAAATCTCGAGATAGTAATGAAACTTTTCACCGAGGTATGTATACTATTTTATTTACAATCATTCGAATTTTGAAATTTTCATTTGGATTAAAACCAAAAAATAAAATAATTAACAATTTCATTTACTTTCGGCCCACGGGTCGAAAGTTTACTTTCGACCCGTGGGCCGAAAGTAAAAGTCAAAAAATACAATAAATTTTAATTTGCCAGGGCTGTCATGACGTTTATTTAAAATCATACATGTAATGTTGACTTTACTGACTTTTAAAAAGTTCGAAAACGTCACTTTTTTGACTTTTACTTTCGGCCCTAATTGTTGGCAGAGTTAAGGCGACGTAAAACTCCAAAAACTATACTTGATAGCTTGATACCCGGTTGATCTTGCGGACGATCTACAAGAAGAATGTAGAAAACGAGCATTCGTCACTACATTACAAAATATGTCTTCTCCATACTTAGAAGTAAATTATCTTCGTTCCTGTATAAACGAAGACCGTTTGAACAGTTTAGCCATCCTCAATATATCTAGTAGCCGACTTGAGAAAATTTGTTAATTATGATGACGTCATTGACGAAATTGTCCGATATGTGTATCGCAAAAAAAATGTAAATATTTAATAAATGGCGTTTCTTCTTTCGTATAGCCTTTTTTCATTATTCAATTTTTGTTGGTTAAATCATAGGGCGGCAGACCTTATAGGCCCAGGGCGCCAAATTTTAAAATACGCCACTGATTCTGACACACAAACAAGTAAACGTAAAGCCAGCAGTCCCCTAATAATTAAAAAAAAATCTGTAACTCAGTTAATAATTAATCAATTCTATTTTTTCTTGGACTATTTAGGAGCACCTAAAAAGAACCTAATTCTGGTACAAAAAAAAAATTTGAAAAAATATTTTTTACTATAGGGGACTGCTAAGCTTTTATAAACCTAACAGTCCCTTAGTTTTTTTGATTT